GAATAGAATAGAATAGAATAGAATAGAATAGAATAGAATAGAATAGAGCAGAACAGAATAACAGAGTTGGAAGGAACCTTGGAGGTCTTCTAGTCCAACCCTCTGAATAGAAATTAGAATGGAATGGAGTAGAATAGAATAGAATAGAATAGAATAGAATAGAATAGAATAGAAAGAATAGAATAGAATAGAATTCAGAATAGAGTAGAGTAGAGTAGAGTAGAATAGAATAGAATAGAATAGGAGAACAGAGAACAGAGAACAGAATAAAGAAGAGAACAGAACAGAACGTATTTTTCTTGGCAACAATAGGGAAGTGGGCCCTCTGGGATCCCCGGGTGGCCTCCCATCCCCGACCTGTCGGCAGGCTGGTCCTCGGTCGTCCTTGGGCTGGGCCGGAGGGTTCTAGAGTCGTCCCAGGCCAAGCTCGGCGGTCTTTCTGTGCAGGAAAAACCAGCAGTACGAGTGCAAGTGGTACATCCCCCTGGCGGAGCTGGTCTTCCCGTCCTTGGAAGAGTCCGACTTGTGTCCACACGTCCAGGCCATGCCGGACCACGACCTGGAAGACATGAAGATCAAGATCTCCTCCATGAAGAGCGAAGTGCAGAAGGAGGTCAGTGGAGGGCTGGCGGGCGGGCGGCTTAGTCCCACTTCATAGAGAAAGGTGCTGGGGTCCTCGAACGTACGACCGTTCGTTTAAGCGACCGCTCAAAGTCACGACGGCACTGAAAAAAGGGGCTTGGGACCGTTTTTCACACCTACGACCATCGCAGCCTCCCCAGGGTCACGTGATCAAACCTCAGGCCCTTGGCAACCGGTTCACAGTCATGACGGCCGCCGTGTCCTGAGGTCACATGATTCCCCTTGTGCGACCTTGTTGTGGTTCGCCGGCAGCAGGTACGGACAGCTGAGGTCTCAGAGAGCGAGGACCGAGATGAGGAGCCCGCGTGGGATGCAGGGATGGGGCCAGGACCATCAGGGAGTGGCAGGCTGCCTTCGGAGGTTGTGGAGGCTGGCAGCAGCGATGAAGAGGCCCCCGAGGAGCCTGTGCCCAGGGCGCGTGCGCGCAGGGCCGCTCGAAGGGAAGAGCAGCTACAGCAGCACGGACGACTCGGGAGTAAGGCTGCAAGGCGATGGCCCCTCCCTTCAGAGATAAAAGCCAGCTGAGAAACCGGAGCTCTTTGCAGGAAGCAAAGATGTTTTTGCACTCGAGCCTTGCGGACGTTCGGACTCTCTTAGTTTGTGTTTGGAGACTTTTTTTGTGTTTGAAATAGTTCTTGGCAACTTTATCCAGTATTCTTGGCAGCCTTGACAAGGCTCGTTCTTATCTGGGACATTGAGTTTGAAACAGCCTTTGAACCGGGAAGGAACGGAATTCGTAAAGAATCATGAAAAGATTTTGCTGTTACCTGTTTCATGGTGGTTTCCTTGGAACCAGGTTTGGGTCAGAACACTCCAGCCCAGCAAAGCCTTAAGTTGTTAAGTGAATCCAGCTTCCCCTTGGACTTGGCTTGTCAGAAGGTCGCAAAAGAAGGACACTGTGACCGTCATAAATACGAGTCAACTGCCAAGGCTCTGAATTTTTGATCGTGTGACCGCAGGGGTTGCCACAAGGACCCTAAGTGTGAAAAAACGGTCATAAGTCCCTTTTTTTTCAGTGCGGTTGTACCTTCGAACGGTCATGGAGTGAACCGTTGTAAGTTGAGGGCTACTGGTATGAAAGAGGATCAGGAAAAGGGCGTCTTGAGTTTCTTTCTGATGCTGCTTCGTTTTCATAGTCATATTTTCAGTTCGTATTTTCTTCCTGGTCTCGGCGCATTTTTTCCCTAAGTCCTCCTTGCGGAGAGACAGAAGCGAGGGGGGGTGGGTTAAAGCCCTTTCGGCTGAGGGTCCAACCGGGAGGTTTGGATCAACGGTCTGAAGTCTTCTTCTTCTTCTTCTTCTTCTTCTTCTTCTTCTTCTTCTTCTTC